CACATAAAAGTCGGGACTATTGCAATTGGAACAAACTTTACCCACCAAAGCACGTTGACCTTGTCTTAAGGCTTCTTTGGCTAGTATTAAAGTGCTATCCTTGTTATTGGTGCCAAAATATGATGCCAATGTAGTACCGTTTTTAATGGTAGCTTCCTGAAAGAATAAGTCATTTTTGCAATGTAATAAATGAGGTACTTGTATGCTAAATTTAAAATTTCGAAGGATGTGACCAAAAGTGCCATTACATGTCACTTTCTACTCTAAATCCAAATATATTTTTTTAACTTTCACCTAGAAACGATATTCCTCTTAATACGGATCCCATCAACAAACGAAATACTCACCACAACTTTTGTATAAACTTTACTGGCAAATTCCTGATCGGTAAATTTAGCTTCCAATGGGAATGTATAGGTGTTTAACCATTCAAGCAATGGCATATCTAAGCCCAAACCGATTTGTGCAACTTGTGGAGCATGAATGTGACAGTCAACAAGACCGGGCATAAGAAATTGTTCCTTGGTCATTTGTGTGATTTCAGCATCTTGAGGAAAATCTTTACCAGCACAATTTTTCCATGCAACATAATCATCGCCTTCGCCAACAATCTATAATAACACATACACACAATCATAAATATTTACAGTTTTTGATTATTGATCTTACGATACGATATCGCTCGCATTGAATGATTATTACCTTTCCATTTTGAACGGCTACAAAGCCATTTGTGTAGATAACAAATTCATTTAGAGATTTTGTATAGATCACTTGTCCCAAGAATACTTTGGCTGTCATGTTGACGACGTTGTCTTGTTCTGGTGTTCTTATTGAAATATTTCTGAATTAATTAATTCGGAACGTGTAGCTTGTTTACACGATCGAACAGCAGAGTTCAAATCATATCATGTTCTTATCAAAAGCTTCAATTGAATGAATGAGCTTAAACAACAGAGATGTAACAGTTGGTATGGGAACATTAGGTATGTTCGATAACGCATTATGTACAAAAATGACTCAAATTTGAACAAAAAATGTGAAAGTGATAATAAAAGTTGGCACAATAAAAAATCTATTTACTGATAGTTATCCCAATTCTGTCAAAAGTGGATGCTGAAAAATGCTGTCAAAAGTGATAAAGTATGGAATTTTGTGATATGAAACACGAATAGTTTGTAAATGTTTACGGGGTTCGAATTATGTCTGTAAAAGTTGTGATTTCAATTTCACGGATTTATCATAATAACGACTTCCTCATGTGATTCATTTTTTATTTTATTCCAAATTCAATTAAGACACGAGATGATATATGGAGTTCGCAGATGGAAAATATCGATATCGATCCTCTGGTACCTCCCACACAAAAGATCGAAATTTTCAAAAAAAATATTTGACCGCACAGAGAGAAAGGATAATCCGATTTTGCTTCATCTTTACAAGTCCTAACATTTCCATCAAATACCTCCCCCCAAAGGGTGAAAATTTTAAATAATTATAACACTTATAAAATATGATGTAAAAGTCCGATTATCTTCAAATTACACACATCACAATATTTTTATTAACCCAAAGATGAAGTTTGAATATATAGGTCCACTCATTTTGGTTCCTCCCTCACAAAGGCTCAAAATTTTGAATATCCACGAAGCTCATAAAACGCGAAATGAACATTTCCATAAACAGAAGATCTGTTATAAAGATGGTAGAGATTGGAGCATTTCTTCTGGTACATCCCCCACAAAGGATCGAGGTTTTTAATAACCAAAATGAGCAGAAAATCCGAAATAAGCATCCGGTTCTTTTCATATTTCGCACATCCCATTATTTGTACTAACATAATATCTGCTTTGAAGATGTGATATATCGGTCCACTCCTTCTGGTACCTCCCCCACAAAGGGTCAAATTTTTGAATATCCATGAAGTTCATAAAAGTTAACATCCAATTCAATTCAGACTTGGTACATCTCAATATTTTTATCAACACAAGATCTCTTATAAAGGTAGTGGAGATCGGACGATTTCTTCTGGTACCTGGCCCACATAGGGTTCCAGATTTTAAAAAACAGAACGCTTTCTTCAAATTTCCCACAAACATACATTTTTGCTAACACAAGATCTGTTGTGAAGATGATATATATAAGTTAGCGATTCTTTTCAACAAAATATTTCTCTGTATCAGAAACCTGAGATGAATATGGAATTTATGAATTCGCATAAAATTGGATATAAGTGTTCGATTTTCTTGTAATTTATCCCATACCAATATTGCCCATAGCCATGCCAATTAGCCCAAATTCCATTGATCTTTTAATCAATGAAGTAACCACCTTTTTAATTTGAACTCGGATCCATTTCTGTTTCTCCTTCAACTTGGTTGGCCCCAATATTTTCAGAACTATGAATTATAGAACACTAATAACAGCTGTTAGCTTTGGTTTGCTTTGGATTCTCGTTCTAAATAAAGCGACCAATCAGAAAAAAACTGCAAAGATGTGTCAACTTGATTGCGAAAACAGCGAAAATAAATATTTATTTTTTGCATTTTAAAATGTTTTTCATAAAAATCTTTAATAATAAATACATAAAAATTCCAACAAAATGAATGAAGAGGAATGTGCTCAATGCGAATGTGAATGTACTGGCAACAAGGGGAAGAAATGCCGCCGATTGTGTTCAACGGAAAAGAAGACCAAATCATCAAGCAAAGTCTCGAAACAAACTCATATTGTTGAGGAAACAGTAGATGGCGTCCACAGCTATTACTGTACGGCCTGCCATAAACGATTTAGGAGCCGTACCCAAAAATATTATCATTTAGAATGTAATCAATTACATGAACAACTTTTTCGATGTGATTCTTGTCCAAAGGTATAAAATTTTGGGAAAAGCAATTAATGACCAAGGACTCCAAAGCTTTATTTGTATATTTTTAGACCTTTTCCCGACAATCACATTTGAAATATCACAGAGAATCACATGCATCTCCCATTAACAAATGTTCCAAATGTGATAAAATATTTTCAAATCCATTGGCTTTAAAGAAACACGAAGGTCTGCATAAAGCTGAGCCAAAACCTTGCCCACAATGTGATAAAAAGTTCTCAAAAAGGACTTCATTGGAAGAGCATATAGCCCGTGATCATATGCACAATTTGCCCTATGCCTGTGGCAAATGCAATAAAAAATATTCTTCAAAATCCACACTACAGCTGCATGAACTATCTCATGAAAGTAAGTATCCAACTATATGTGTAATAAAAAGGGGGACACAGTTAATCTGTTTAATATATTTTCTTTAGAGAAAAGATTCGAATGTAATTTGTGCGGTAAACATTTTCAACGTAATTCCATTTTAAATTTACATCTGAAACGCCATTATCAAACAACACCAAACTACAAATGTTGGGGGTGTGAAAAAATGTTCTCAGAACCCGGTGCTTTGTCTAGGCATCGTAAAATACATGAAGGTAGGTCATTGACATTTCGTTGGCATTTTCGATACAGTAATTTTCATAAATTTATAGAAGATGCTGTACGCTATTATTGTACATTGTGTGATTTAAATATTTTGCGTAAGGATAATATGGCAAGACATATAAAAACCATACATCCCGATGAAAGTTATGGGAATATTGTCCAGATATTAAAGCCTACTGCAAACATAAGCAATCAGCTAACTGAAACCATTACAAATAAGACTGAAAGAGAAGATGATGTGCAACAGCATGTTGTTGTTGAACCTAATGATATTGGTGATAATACATCTAAAAATGTGGAATCATCAAATAATTTTGTCATTATTGAAAATAAATTATTACAAAGGCCATCTACACATTCCCTGGATGACCGACAAACATTGAATCAAATTCATGTTATTACTGCCCTACCCGCAACCAAACAGACTGATGATATTCAACAGGCAAGTGAAAGGTCTTTTGAAATTTGCCAAAACGATACAACACGTGAAAATAATAAAAATGAAAAATGGGAATCTAGATTTCAAACTCAACAAAAACTGCCAGATGTAGGCGATGTGCAATGTAAAACACAAGACCCTGATTTGAAATGTAAAGAGTCGACAATGTCCACTAAAGAATCGGAGAACATTCACCAGCCCATTGTTCTTCATACACCCTCGGTTATACGATCTGTGGGTAATGTTAGTAAGAAAATTATATTTCAATTAAATGATGCCGAGGCAATAAAAAAACCCAAGGTATCTAACTCGGCATTGGATTACGAATATAAACATAAGAAATATAATCATCATTACAATGTCGATTTGTATCGTAAAATTTTGGGTATAACTGGCGACGATGACGAAGACAATGAACAAGAAAATAACAATAATAATAATTATAATTCTCAGTTGGAAGAACAGCCTGAAGTGATAAGACCTAGGGATCAAGAAGAATGTTTTAATGGAAACACAAATGGAAATGCTGCTGCCGTGCATTGGCGTAAGAGTTTTAAGCACATCTATGAAACGTCTTCAATGTAAAGAAGCATATATTTAAGAAATATATATAAATAAATCTGAATTCAAATACAGAAACATTTATCGAGCAATGAAATGAGATTTTATGTTATGTGTAAATGTCAGATAATCTTCTGTGTCAGAATTTATTTCTCCAAACTTACTAAAAGCAACCTTGGCTCAAAAACAAAGATTGCTCAACTTCAAAAAAATTGGAATTACAACTCTGTGCTGGAGTCTTATACTGTCAAATAGACATTTAAATATGCAACAGTTGGCTTTGTTTATTTTTAATATTTTTCTGGGGAAAGCCGCGAAACAAAAACCGAATTTTGGGGTTATTCCACAAGATTGAATCCAAAATAGTAGGACAATGCAGTTTTATCCCAAAATTCGAAAATATACATTTTATTTTTCAACCGAATTTGAAAAATTTCAAATTATTGTATTTTTTATTCAAGAAAATACAAACACATACACAAAATGTGTATATGTTTTAACAGAATAAGGGCACCAAAAGAAAAAATTGTATTTAGAGGCTAGCTTTGTTCTACTTTCTGTAATTGTGCAATGGATTCCTTCACATACGATTTATGAAGCTAAGTATTTTTTATTAACTTAACTAGACTTAATTTATAAAAAAAAACCATTAATCCATTTGTTTTTCATATAAAGCCATAATGTCATTTTCGCCCATTTTTAACGAAGCTTTAAGTTTCCACGTTAGCTTTTCGCTGCCTTGTGGAAAATTTGGTTCCAATGGCAAGGGATCCGTATAAACATTTCTTTTTTCCAACGGACCAATTATGCATAGCCATTTCCCTTTGTATAGATTAAGATATTGTAAAAATGCTGGACGATTATTAAAATAACAAAATAACAGGGCAAAATTCCAACTATCTCGTAGACAGCAGGTTCTAAGATAATCATCTTTCGTCACATCCATGCTATCTATGTAATTTAATTCTATAAATGATTTTATGGCATAATTGCTGCACCACCATTGTCGATCTACCTCTACGCCATAGGTTTCAATATCTTTAAAGAAAAACATATTGAAGAAATTAACAAATGAAAAAGAATAACTGTTTTGGCATCTACTTACTTAGACTTTCTCGTAGTATCCATTCAAATAATCCATTGCCACAACCTATGCTTAACAAACAGCCAATGCCAAATTGCCGTAATATTTTGCCCAGCTGCCATAAACATTTCTCGTTTGGCCATATCCATAGTAATTTTCTACGTATTTCCGTATCCAGATTTTCACCATATTTCAATAGAGAACGCCAATTTTTGGTTTCATTTTTAGTTAAATAATACACTTCCCTGAGACAGCTTTCCTCGTTGGCTGATGCCATGGCATTCATAAAGAAATATCAATTTAATTGAACTTTTCGGGGAAAGCATACGTGATTGGTACACTGATTTACAAATTTGTAATATAAATAAAATGGTTGATACCTACTTAGGACAGATGAAATAGCTCCGGATTTCAAAGAACTGAACAGCTAAAAATCTTGATATATTGAGGTGCGAGATCGAAACTGCACAGACGTTGTTATACCACATAGTGGCAAAGGGTATTACGTCTTTGTGCATTTGTTTGTAACATGAAGAAGCGAGGTAGACCCATAGTTACTTTCGACGATCTTCGTAGAATCACTTTCTGAGTCGTCTGTCCATGTATTCTTGTTAACAAAATGTAGGTCGCATTTATTATTCGATTGAGATGATCCGATTGTTTGGCCCAAGAACGAACCCTAAGGAAATTGGTGATAATCGGATCAGATTTGGATATAACTCCCATATAAATCTTCAACCGCTTTCGGTCCAATATCAGTTCAAATGACCTGAATGTTGGCACATCCGACCGAATTCAGTCTGGAAGCATGTACATCAAATTTGGTGAAAATCGGTTCAGATATAACTATAGCTCCCATATATATGTTTCATCACATTCGCAATATGCACCCAAAAAGGAATGAGGTTTGGTATCAGATGTCAGATACAGCCCAAAAATACCTCTGCCAAATTGTATCGAGATCGATTCAGATTTGAATATAGCTCCCATATATATCTTCAAACTCCCATATATATCTTCGATTTCGAGTTTATTGCGCAAATAATGGGCCCAAAAGAAGTGAATTTCGGGACGTACGTTTCCATTTGGTGGAACTCGGTTCTGATATATATTTTTTAATACAATCCTTCTCGAAGTGATATCATGCACTCTATAGCAATGTTATTTGGTCTAAAGGATTAAAATGTCTCCGCAAATTTAGTGAAAATCGATTCAGAATTGGATATGTTTCCCATATTTTAGTTCCCTCTGAAATCAAAGTATAACCGCTCTAAAGCCAAATGTTGATAGGTGGTATGATCTACTTCAAATAAATACTAAATATGCATAGTGGTGTAGGGTATCATATAGTCGACTCCGCCCAACTTTGACCTTTCATTACTGTTTTTCTGGATCCCAAAATATCGTTTAGTGCATTTTAATATTTTTCATGCGGCGCTTTTGTAGACATGTGTAGTTTCTGTTTTTTTTTTCTTTCCTTATAACGCACAAATATTCTCTGATCTTGGCCGTGGCCATTAACGTGCCATGTGCATGCTGCAGATGGCATTTGGCCAATTGCTTATAAATATGGTTGGCATTTAAATGATAATTGTCTCTCTCTATTAATTGGTTTGTGTTGCTTTGGTGTCTTAAGACTTATACTTATGCAAATATGCAAAAAATCAAATACTTTAATTTCGTTATAAAAAATGTAAATTTTTATTTTGTTTTTACTTTTCTTTTGTACAACCAAACTTGTTTGGCCAAATTTTGGTTTTCAAAAATCCACAACAATAGAACAAATATTGCACTAATAACACCTGTCCCCAAATGCAATTTAAATGATGTATTATTCTGAAAAAAAATTAACAGAATCGTTAAAATCGGGAGAACACAATTTGCCAGATATTGATTACCTTGGTATAATAACAAACAATATAAGTTATTATAAGACCAATGGAAAATATTTTCCCCGGTATTAATCCTTTTAAGGGTCTATAATCCAATGGCCGGTATTGTTGCCAAATATATTTACAACTGCAAGAGAATTTCAAATTATGAAAATTAACTAAGAAATAAGTACAAAACTACAACATTACCTGCTACATATTCGGCATAGCATATTTACACAATTGGCAATTATAAACCCAACTGGACCAAAGATTCTTGTCAACACAAAAGACATCACAATAAATATGATGGAAAAAATACCCATTATATAGTTATATTTGTCAATTTGCTTGCTAGTATTCGTGGCAAACATATAACCCTCGGTAATACCATTTATGGCTAGGAAGTAAATGGCTATACAATGGCAACGTAACAATTTTTCAGGCAAATTATCAGCAACAAAATTGGGTCCACCATACAAATATAACACGGAGTGTGAATAATTTTGTCCAAACATGGTAGCCAATAAGCCAATAGATGTTATGGCCAACAAAAGGTTTTCCAACAGTCGAGCAGCTTCAGAAATTTTTTTCTACAAAATAGAAAAGAAAAATTGATGAAATGTTCTTTCCCATAAAATCCCATCCTTACTAACCTTGTCCTGGTCCTTTAGTTGGACATCCCTTGCTATTGTCTGTGTAAAATAAAAATAACTGCTGTCTTCAATTGGTCGAAATATAAATCTGGCTGCTAAACTACCCAAATTGTTGACAATGTCGTAAGTGGCCTGTTCACTAAAGCTAAGACCCGGAGTTAATGACATGACATATTTTTCGCCTTCAGTGAGGATTTGTTTAACAAATGTCTGTTTGGCAAAACTCATTGTAAACTTAACCAATTCTTTGTTTAATATCTCTTCCTGAAAATCGAAAAGCTAATTAAATATTTTACAATCGCAAAATCTTTAAAATATACTCACTTTTTTCTTTAGCATTACACCGGGCAGAAAGTCTAACACACTCTGAAATGGAAAATCGTCCATATTTCCATACATATTTGCATCCCATTTCGTAAGTTCTTCATTACTTTTGTGTTCTTGTTTAAATTTCTTTAAGCATCGTATATAGTAATAATAAAAGCCATAGTATCCAACAAAAATTGTTGCGGTACTGGCCAATTGTGCATATGCAAAATATTTAATGGCTTTTGATTCATTCAAACCCAAAACCAAAAAAAGGAAAACACTTGAGCGTACCAAAATTTGCAGGGTACTTATTACAACTTTCAGTTTTACAAAACAAAATACTTGGCTAACAAAACATGGTGCTTCCGCACAAAATTCCAACAAACATGACAATGCCACGACATAGCAGGCAGAGTGATATTGCTGGCGGTATGCAATGTCTTCAACAGGTAACATTACATGCAACCACAGTTGTACACATACCAATGAAATGCAAAGACAAATTGGGAGCCTACAAATAGATAAATTACATTCAGAGCTACAGCATAGAAGAGTAGATACAACATACGTACGTAAGCCATTGCTGGTTTATTAATTGGGCCCAAGAACACTTCTGCAACTGTTTGGTGGAGCTAACACTTAACGCCGCCCGGTTTATTGCTTCTCTGGATAAAAATATTACCGTGCTTTCAAGCAATAGCAGGCGAACATTAATTATACCCAAGACATCACGGCCTATGGTGCGTATCATAAAAATGTTAACAGCAAATGTTAGAATTCGGCAGAAAATCTAATTTAAATGAAATTTATTTATTAATGGCTGATAGCACTCATCCAAAACATACCTGAAAAGCCATGTTTAGAATGGCACTTAACAGGCTGCTTTTTAATATATTGCGAGCCATGTTTGGTGATTTTCTTATCCTTTCAAGAAATGTGGCTCATTTATAGCAGCCTAACAGTTAATTAATAAAATGTTAGTATTGATTCATCAGAATTGAAAATTCTTATCAAATAGAGGAGTTTTGTTGTTGTCGTCAAAAGTTGCAGACAAAATTAAAATCGTTCCAAACGATGAAAATAACAATGAAAGACAATACGCAATAAAAATAAACAGAAAACATAATCGTCGTGTTTACGAATGAGTGTAATGCAATTGCATGGATTTGGTCTTCTTCTCCAATGAACACAACCGGTGGCATTTCTTTCCCTTGGTGCCAGTATATTGACTTTCGCATTCCTCTTCATTAATCTTGTTTGAACTTGAATATATTTATCAAAGATTTTTATGAAAAACTCTTTTCTTTTACGTTTTTTATTCTGATTTTACTCCTTATTTAGATTATTTAGAACGAGAGCCCAAGGCAGAGTAAGGCTAACAGCTGTTATTAGTAGTAGAACGTTTCCGATTTTTATTGGTAATGGCATGAAAGCATCCAACCACTGATAAGCTATGTTTCTAAATAGATTTTATTCACTTTGTATTTTTTTTTTTTTTGGAATGGTAAATATATTTTCTATTAAGCCCTACTAACTTCTATGTGAAATTTACATGCTGGTATACATTGCACTTCTGCTGTAACGCTGCTATTTATGCCCAGATTGCTCAAAGCTCCGCGTACTAAACCACAGGTAAATGCAACAAACTGGAATAAAAAAGTTACATACATTCATTTGAGTCAACATTGACACAATAAATTGATACCTTTGGTGCATGCTCCAATTGCTTTTCTCCTGGTGTAATGCGTGTCAAAAACCGAAATGCTTTGTCCTGGACAACATACATTCCCTGGTTATTGGTTCGTAAATTATCCACTTGCTTCTTGTAAATGGATGTCCAGAAATCTGTACAAATAAACTTAATCGTTTCCAGTTCATCTTTGAAACGGGGAACATCTCGTGTCATACGTTCAATGAGACGATATCCAGTTGTGAATCCTATGTATTCCAGGGTGGAGAAATCGTTTTCCTAAGAAAAAAAGCAAACGAATGATAATCAAGGGAATGCAAGTGAAGGGGAGTATTTATTACCTTATTACCATACAGACAATAATTTACGATTTCGGCATGAAGGCAGTCAAATACTATTTCTTCGGACATTGTGTTGATCAACAACAATAACTTTAAATTACTATGTTTACTATGTTTTTATAAATAATAATCCCATTGAGATGTACAATTTTCGATGAAAGACTCGACAATAGGGATTCATAGATCGACTCTCGATCTTTGGCTCTAAGTGCAAATGTGGATTGAATAACAGAGGATTTAGGGCTGAAGATTAAAGGCGGCATTTCAAAGGCAAATGTAAAGTAAGGACTGATACCAGTTATTTGTTTTACTATCCCTATGATAAAAACAAACCAAACAGCTGATGTTAGCAAGTGTTCTACCTAATTTAAATGCGTTTCTTTCAAGCCGGCTTTTCCAAACAAAAACAAACAATTCCTCAGAGGAGTGGGCCGGAGCATTTTTTATTTTCAATGGAAAAATCACAGGCAAGTTTAAATCCCCTTCATTCTAAGAAATTTTCTTAATTCGTTACTTCATTTTCCACCAGAAAAATGTCTACACATTGTAAAACCTCCACAATTATTGACTCCATGCTTGTAAAGATTGTGGCATTGGTCATCTTGTGCTATTTATCTTATGGATCAACTCTCAATGGAAGCTTTGTGTTCGATGACACTGTCGCCATTAAACAGAACAAAGCCATTGCCCAAGTACCAACCAATTATACCGCTATATTTACTAGTGATTTTTGGGGTGCCTCAATTACCAGTGAAGATTCACACAAGTCATATCGGCCTCTAACTTCCTTGCTATTCCATTGGGAATGGATAAAGTGGCAAATGCAACCCAAACATATGAAGGCAATCAACTTAGGGTTGCACACCATCAATAGCATTTTAGTTTTGCTGCTCTTAAAAAAATTCAAATTCAAAGAACCATCTTTAAGCTTGAAATCAAGCGAAGAAATTGCCTTTGTTGCGGCACTTCTATTTGCTGTCCATCCCATACACACAGAAGCTGTTGCTGGTATCGTTTCCAGAGCAGAATTAATGTTTTGCTTGGTATATCTTATCTGTTTACACATATGTATAGCATGGCACCAAAGTTATTTGTGTTCTTTGGTGCTTATTCCTATGTTGACTTTTGTAGGAGTGCTATTTAAGGAATCAGCCATAACCATACCTTTGGCATGTATATTTGTTGCATTTGTAATGGAAAGTTTACACACTTTGCCCTTGAGACAGCAACTTAAACGAGTAATTTGCACGAGAAATATATTTTTGGGTATTAGTACATTGGTTATAGCCACATTTCGTCTATGGATAGCAGGTTTCACCAGTCCCAAATTTCGTAATGCCGACAATCCGGTGGCCCATGCCAGCAGTTGGAAAACAAGATTATTATCCCAAAACTATTTATATTTTTACAATATAAAAATACTCATAAATCCAATAGAGCTATGCTTTGACTGGTCCTTTGGTTGCATTGAATTGATAGAGAAAATCAATGACAATCGTTTATTTAGGGTACTATGTTTTTATGCATTACTAGCAATTGTGGTAATTAATTATCAACGAAATTGCCAACCCTTTGTGGCCTTGGGACTTATGATTATACCCTTCTTACCGGCTTCGGGCATAATTAAAGTAGGATTTGTTATAGCCGAAAGGGTACTATATGTCCCCTCAATTGGATTTTGTTATTTAGTGGCGTATGGATTTATCTGCCTTTGTAATAATGAAAGGTATCGTAAATTTTGGAAATTCGCATTCGCTATTTTTATATGGATTTTTGTTATGCGCTGTAGACAGCGTTCAGGGGAATGGTCAACAGAGGAAAAACTGTTCTCATCAGCCTTAGATGTGTGCCCTAATAATGCAAAGGTAATATAAAAATGATTATAATATATACGTATTGTTTGCTAATATTTTGTAAATAAAATCTAGGTCCATTACAATATTGCCCGCCTGGCAACTGATATGCAAAATTATCCGAAAGCTTTCCGCCACTATCACTTAGCCGTAGAACTATCGCCAGACTATGACGCTGCTCTCATGAACTTAGGCAATTTATATCGAGATCAAGGCGATCTAACAAATGCAGAAAAATATCTGAAAGCTGCATTGGAGGTTACACCAAGTTTTGCCACAGCCTGGATGAATTTGGGAATTGTTCAGGCGGCAAAAAAGAAATTTGATATAGCCCTGCAAAGTTATCAAAACGCCCTAAAATATCGCAAAAATTATGCCAACTGTTATTATAACATGGGTAATCTATATTTAGATCGAAAAAACAATAATGAGGCTTTACGTCACTGGCAATTGGCTGTGGCTATTAAGCCAACGTTACGCCAGGCCTGGACAAATATCCTAACAATGCTCGATTCACAAGCTAGATATGATCAGGCTTTAAGAGTATCGGACAATGCCTTGAAATACATTCCCAATGATACTTCCATTACATTTTTACGTGCCAATATTTATGGAAAACTTGGACGTTATGAAGAAGCAGAAAATCTATATAAACAAGTTGTGATCAAAGAGCCGCTTAATTATTTATACCATACGAATTTAGCAGTTTTATACCATCGTTGGAATAGAATATCCGAAGCAATTGATTCATATAAAAAAGCATTGGATTGTGATCCGAAAAGAGCCATAACTGCAAGAGAAAATATAAACAAGCTGATTAACAAATTGGCTAGTAAAAAGAAAACTACAGCAAAAAGTTGAGATTAAGAACAATTGAGAGAATCTGACTTAATTATATATAGATAATTCCAAGTAGTAGGTTTAAATCGACACTGTCTTATAGATAACTAGCTTAAAATCCAATAAATTTTTAATAAATTTTCTGATAAAAATGTAGTTTAAGATTTTTTACCAATAAAATATTTATTTATATTGTAAATTTTTTTAAAGCCCAATATAAATTGTTGTTTATTTTTTGAGTTTGTGTCTACAAACATGGCAACAGTCTGCAATCAAGCCTCCTCCCTCGCCACAACATTGTTCAACAATAAAGGTGGCCACCATTTAGGGATTTCTACAGAACAGGGCTTTCCGTCTATGGTCAACTCTTTGGTTTTTAATGCCTTTTCAATTCGTACTAAGGCCAGGGCTTTCGTTTCTATGCTACCAAGTACATTGCCCACTTTTGCTCCAGCATCGTTGCACATTGCATAGGAAGAATTTTCCATTAGGGGATTCTTTAAATTTACCGGCATATGCCTTTTACGTATTACCCCCGTATGATGAACTCTTGCCGTTAGCTCTTGGCCAATGTAACAGCCTTTGTTGAAACTAACACCATTTAAAATATCACAATTGGCCTCCAATGGAAATTGTTTTCCTGGCGGCATATCTTGCACTCCTTCCGCCACACCAAGGCTATATCTGTGAAGACGATAGTTACTGGCCACATTCGAAAGTTCAATTTTAGTGTTTGATAGATTCTTCAATAGTTTTGAGATCTCTTCAGAAGTACGATCTGATGTTGCTAATAAACGATATCCCAATTCAGGTAATCTTGGGTCGCCTATTATGTCCATATTATCTACAGGCATCTGAGGCAGCACACATGCTGGACCTTCGCCAACTTGGAATACACACCACACCTTTAACTCTTCTGCTATGTTATCAATTTGTATTTTCCTTCTTACCCGGTACAATTTTAAATGGCGCATTAATTCATTGCAAACGTCTTGATCACATTCAATCAATATTGTGGAACTATCGCTGGGCGCTTTATACACAATAGCATCGTATAGCACTCTCCCGGCCTTGTTTAGGAACATGGTATACAGAGAACCCGTGTGCGAGGATTCAAGTTGCCTTATGTCATTTGTGGTAAGTCCTTGCAGAAAAGGTACAACATCTTCGCCTTTAACACGCACCAATTGCCTTTGTTGTAAGTCTTCAACTATGAATTTGTTTTCCTTTGTTGCTGCCGGGTGGTTAGTATGTGTTCTTCTGACTGATGCAACCCAACGAGAACACCAGTGATGTAGGCGATTGTTACGTAGTACATTCATATTTTAATAGTTTCCGACATTAAAGGATGTGGTATGCAACGAAATCTATAAATTTATTTTAATAAAATGTCACTGTTTTCCTTTATGAAAGTAATTTGATTAAATAAGACTATATTCTTTAAAGATTTATGGAAGATTTAGTTCTTGGTGGTCGTGGTTATCAATTGCAGTGTAATGTTTTGATTGAGAACAAAACGAACTAAGTATATTTTATATATTTTTTTTGTCACGAATCCCCAAAAGATTAAAATTATTGTCCAGTTAATGTATTTAATATGTTGAGATAAATAAAATTAAAACAATTCGATAATATTATTTTACTTTATAAGAAATAGACAATAAAATTAAATTTTCAAAAATAATGTGTTATATCATTTTGCAATTAAATAAAAACAAACATATGTTCGGCACATATGATTCAAGAATGACAACTTCGCGAGTTTCTTTTAATCTTTGGTGATTTTTGGGAAACATTATTTACGTTTCCTTACTAAATGATAAAATAATAAGAATGACAACTTCGCGATTTTCTTTTAATTTTTGGTGATTTGTGGTAGACATTATTTACGTTCTCTTACATGGTAGAAGTATACAGGAAGTAAAATGGCCATAACTCCTTAAATATTGACATTTCGGGGTTTTTAGCTATAATTTGTGATCACTTTTCTAAAGGGGAGAAATGACATACTTTAAAATGGCCATAACTCCTTAAATATTGACATTTCGGGATTTTTAGCTATAATTTGTGATCACTTTTCTAAAGGGGAGAAATAACATACTTTAAAATGGCCATAACTCTTTAAAAATTGACATTTCGGGGTTTTTAGCTATTATTTGTGATCACTTTTTTAAAGAGGAAAAATAGCATACCTTAAAATGGCCATAACTCCTTAAATATTGACATTTAGGGGTTTTTAGCTATAATTTATCACTTTTTTAAAGAGGAAAAATAGCATACCTAATAATGGCCATAACTCCTTAAATATTTACATTTCGGGGCTTTTTTAGCTATAATTTGTGATCACTTTTCTAAAGGGGAGAAATAACATACTTTAAAGTGGCCATAACTCCTGAAATATTGACATTTCGGCATTTTTAGCTATAATTTGTGATCACTTTTTTAAAGAGGAAAAATAGCATACCTTAAAATGGCCATAACTTCTTAAATATTGACATTTCGGGGTTTTTAGCTATAATTTGTGATCACTTTTTTAAAGAGGAAAAATAGCATACCTTAAAATGGCCATAACTCCTTAAATATTGACATTTCGGGGCTTTTTTAGCTATAATTTGTGATCACTTTAAGGTATGCTACACAAATGCTCTGTTCCAGATCCTGCAATCATAAAGAAAACATCAGTAATAAAAACTTTTACGTTTTTTTTCACCACCAATCTAAATACGTTTAACAAATTTTTGATTTTCTTAGTCCTCTCAGAAATCAATTTGGAATGTATTTGAAAGGTATTACGTTTTATGCAGAAACAGATCTTTAGTTTTTCCCTAATTCGTCAAATGTCTAATCTCCCGAAACGTACGTCTGTAATAGTGGATATTCAAAATGTCTGTAAATGTAGGGAATATGTAGAGTATAAATCATGGTAGAAGAATACAGGTAGATGCATCATTGCTTGTGAAAATTTATATGTCAAAATTGTTTAAATGTTTTTTTTTTTTTTTTTTCAAAATAAGTATATTTGTATATGTTTTCCCATATGATGCCAATCAGAAGATGTTATGATGACAAGTTTTACAAATTTGAATAACTTTTCATTCAAAAATTTCAATTCCAAAATTGGTTTGACAGTTCATTATCCCAGCAGTTGTGTCGATGCGACCATCGTAATATAAATCAATAATTTGACACTGCTGTCTTTGTCGAAATTTAATAAAAATTCCATGGTAAAATTAAGAAGGTGAAGTCATTTCAAATAAGCGTACCCATCTCTGCATTTTCTGTAATTTACCTTGTCAAATTTCACTGCCTAAAAAAAGGTTTTCATATCTGATTTGTACAATCAAAATTGATTTATAAATAAATATTTTGACAATGAGATGTTGTCAAAAGGATGATTTTAAAAATATTGTAAACATATGGTTGCATGACTTAACCTTCTTTATTCTACCATGAAAAATCCAAAATTGTTCTCTGTATAAGTAAGCTTGACGAAAGAATGAAGTGTATTCTTTTTATTTAAAAACAAAAACAAACACTGAAAAATACCAGCTTGAGGGGACATGTATTGTTCGCGTTAGCACAGTGGAAACAAAAACTATATCTTGTATTGGGTTCGTACGTGCTAATTGTGACTTTTATCACGTCATGCGTTTTTTTGTTTTTAAAGATGTGCTCACATTTTTTGCATTTTTGTTGTTTCACACTTAAGCAAACAACAAGCTGCTAAATATATCATCAATACAATATTGTTAATAAAGACTAATATGTGACTTATCAACAATAACAGATCGTTGTTGTATCTGTTGGAAACAAAGAAAACAGCCATGAATTAATAGAATTAACCATGGACCGATACCAAATTTATTTGTATTATTTATTGTACAATATCGTTTAGTAATGGAATAACTGCTCAAGTTCAAGGCGATGTATATTAATACAATTACTCACAAAGAAATAAAAAAACTCCAAGTTTATGTTGGAAATTGTAATATTTATTTATGTGTACTTTGAATGTGAATGTTTTAATATATATATTTATATGTATGTATGCATCATTCAATCAAAATTTTATAATTAATCAATTTGTTAAATCACATAAATGGGTGTACATATGTAAATCTAAGAATATTATTTATATGTAGCTACGGTACACTAATTTGTGATTGTAGCAATGGCAAAGAAAAAGGCTTAACTTAGAAAAGATAAAATTGGAAAATTATATTCGATGAAATGGGCCTTGAAATAACCACAATTGTGAGTGAGTAAATAATGATAATAATATTAAAGATAGGTACATACTTTTACTGAATAGATATTTTGTTTCATATACTTCAAAAGCGGCCAAGCGTCACTCTAGTTAGTAAGTGCGGTGACATTGACGCATGAATCAATGAATTCATTTCAAATTTATATTGTATACAAAAAAATACACATCTCTAGCCTAGAATAATGGGTATTGTAACTAAACTTAAACTACAAATAAATAAAATAAACATTAGTTGATAAGAACAAAAAAGAAACAGCACATATTGAATGAAACAGTGTGGTATAAAGTAATGATAACAAAGTCTATAATAATAAACAAGAAATAAATATACATGTATATTGGTTTGCATTGAACAAAAAAGACAATAGGAGCTTTTGTAACAAAAGTAAAGGAAGGAATTACACAAATGTTTGTTGTATTAGATACCAAATACGTATATGCGAAAAAATAAGTCTTTTAATTTTGAGATACATAATGTAACAACACAAAAATTGTTATTGTAGATATTTTTTTTTGAATGGCATGATTGATATATGTTTTTATGTTATAGAATCAGCAAATGTTGATCATAGCTTGCAAGTGAGTTCTATTTTCTAGTTTTTCTCGTCTAGTTATTTTGCACCTAAAGTAATACAAATTCTTCAGTTTCACTGTCATCATCGATTGGCATAGAATGCTGGCCATTATACTGATTAAATTGTTGTAATTGTTTCTGTAATGGTTTGTAAAGCGAATCGCTCATTTCGTTAAGGTTCGTCTCGTGTTGAAGACAACGTCCCCGAGAAAATGAAAATAATGGATAATTCATTTCGGCATATTGATTAGATGTTTCTGTAAAACTGTTGGTCAGGCTAGAAGGCATTTGTTGTTGTTGTTGCTGCTGTTGAGGTAATTGTTTTTCCAATGAGCCCGAGGCACAGCGCATGGGATGTAAATACTAATTGAATACAATTAATTTGATTTTTTTTTTGGCAAAATAGATAAATATTTGTGAAACTTACGAGTTGCACCGATTCAACGAAATTATCAAAATCGGTTTTTGTTTGACAATAGAAACCAATACAACAACTGGGATCCATTTTACTCGATTTCAATTTACGCGGTGATTTACAATGGAATGAATGAAGCGGGAAATTTTCCTGATTAACATCAACCATTTCTTGACAATAATGTGGGTCCAAATGGATTAGTTTATCCTCTGTAAAATATAACAATTTTAGTAAAACACATTTCTTTACAAAGAAATTTTTGAAATTTACCCTGAAAGCCCACAAAATACAATGAATGTTTTGGTCTTCCGCCAATGATACCAATACAATATTCGGTACTTAGCAATAGCTTCAAACAGTGAGCATACACAGGATTTAACTTGTCTGTTCCCAAACGTAACGGCACCAATACAATCAGCGATTTCCAATTGGATTTGATTTCATTTGATTTTGGTGTTTGCTGTTTTTTCCATGGTACATGGGACTTGGGCGTGGGTTCGGGTATGCAACATTCGGCTTCAATGTCACCCATATATACTGAAAATATTTGTAAGATTAGATAATATTTTATTAAATTAGTACGCAATTCACTGCACTTACTTGTACAATCCTTGGCCACATATACAACTAAATTATCGAAATCAGCATTCTCTTGCGCGGCATTTTTAAGGGCTTGTCTAAATGTATACATTTTAAAAAATGAGTTATCATTTATGGCTTTTGTGTTGCTTACCTTAGTAAATATGAAACCGATGCTGGGCCATACCAGTCACCTGGTTTCTTGCCCATTTCTTCGCCCAATTTTACCAATGTATGTATAGAAAATGGACTGCTCTTTGAAGAACTATCACCAAACCATTTTATTATTTTCTTGTGCATATTGTCCTCGAGTGTTGAGTGCAACTGAGATTCGGGGTCATAACGCCAACCTAAAGATTCAAATCAAAATTAATACATTTATATGTATAGCATGTTATTTTAACTTACTGCGTCCTAGAAAATGGCAAAGCAACGCCTGGGCCAAGAGCATTTGCCCACTGCGCAACATACAACCCCAACCACAATCACTTGTATAATTTGAGCCATTCATTATGGGAAATTCTCGACGATATGTCATCCAAATGCGGCTATAGAAATCTCTTTTGAATCCTTCTATGCCCTCTTCCCAGGGATTGTCACCCACCTGATTGTCAGTGGCATCCAAGGCCAATTCTTGCGGCACCACAATTTCTTCCACTTGTTGGGGATTTAGAATAGGATACAGAGCAGATGAACTGTTGTTGGGTGTTAAACCAATTCCACCTGTGTCTTGCTGTATAGTGTCATATGCATTGGAAATTGTCATGTTGGCTTGATCTTGTCCCATTGTCGTCATGCCACCCAGTTCCGAGCTATTTTCCATCGAAGAAGGAGGTGTACACTTACGATGATAGCAACGACCAAGTAGCCAAACTGGTTGTTCTTTGGAAAAATTCGATTTCAATTTTCCACTCCAACCATATTTGACATTATGCCACATTGAAAGTAGTTTTGATTCCATGCCCTTAGTTGGTGTCCGACCAGCGGCATTACTACTACTCTCGGCCTCATCGTTGTCTGCGGCACTTGCCACACACGAAGAAGCCGCTGATGTTGTGTACAATTGTTGAAAAGCATTTATAAAGCGGGATGATGTCGAGATTTTCCTGGTTGGCGTTGCTGTTTGATCCGTTTTTACATTTTGTGTACTGGTGGTTGTGATGGTTGTTGATGGTGTATTATGTGAAGACGATGCAACAGATCGCGGATTAACACATTGTATGGTGGCAGCCTGTTCCTCCTCTATTGCACCATCTTCCGGTGTTAACGCCACTTGAAACAAGTTCAATTTATCATCCGTTGTTAACTGTGACAATAGGCCATCATAGTTCATCTGTGGACGGGGAGAATGTGAATGGGGCTTTAGGCACGAATACATTTTGTGAAAAACTAAAGAGTAACGCCGCCGTCTTGGCAGCGGTTGTGAAGTTTGCATGGCAAAAAGTGTTATGGCACTGAATCACTTACCACAAAAATAAAAGACAAGTCAGTGTTCGGAGGGAGACACTGACGATAGTGTGTCTTTGATAATCTCAGGTAAGCTAGGAGACGAATGTATGTGTCGCGAGTCAAATGTACGTACTCACCGTTTATACTGATAATTTTTCGAGTGCGTTTGGTAAAGTGCTACTATCAACCTTCTCCCTTCTCGTCGTTTTGTTTGTTGTGAGATAACAATGTTTTGTTTATATTTTTATGCCTAAGCACAAAGAACGCGCGTAAAAACCAATTAGTAATATGCTTGGACCTTTCTCAAGTTAATTAACACAAAAAGAGAATAGTGAGCAGCGATGATGATGCTGTGTGTTGCAAAAGAAACTATTTTTTTGCAAATTAGAGCAGCACAAAATGAAATGAATGGCAATGAAAGAAGTAGGACCAAAAATCAAAACAAAACAATGGAAAATACTGATATCGCCAGTAGGAATATTGTGCACAATGACGGCGTTGGACTGTTGTCGATTATTTCAGTTAGGGCTAGTTTACATGTAATGTATTAGGCAATCACGTACAAAATGTTATGTTTTGTTGAAACGAAATATTTTATATGATTTGCTATTACAGTAATTGATAAATTTAGAAATGTTATAATAAAATGTAAATATTAATGATTATAATGAAAATTCATGATTAGGTAGGGCAGAACTACCATATGATTTAATTTTTTTTCTGGCTTAATATGTCAACTTCATTGGCTTATGTGTGTGTCTTCTTTACAATAATAAAAAATTGTTCAGAAAATAATCAAATTCGGATGTTTTCAAAATGCTTATTGCAACGAATGCATTGACAAAATCTACAGTTTTTGTCGCGAAATAAACCATGAGAGATATATAGAACATGATATTGAAAAGAAATTTTGATCATTCATTCAGTTTTCGCGGTTTTAAATTATTTATTCAAAATAAATGCAACAAGTTGTTTGCTTTTTTATTGTTTTGATAGTAATTCTGACATTACAAGCCAAACAGGTAGACCTCTATACTTGCAATTTTTTCAAAGTTGACCTACCTTCTCTTCATTGTACCATGCCTTCTACCATGGTAACATTCATTTTTTATAAGAATATCCATTTCTGCATTTCTTTGTTTTACCTTTTCAAACTTCTCTGCATAGAAGACTGATTTGTGTATTCAAAATCGATTTATTAATATAAAATTTCACAACGAGATGTTGTCAGATAAATAATTTCAATAAAATTTTAAATATATGACTGTAAGAGTTTACCTTCTTATTTCTGTAGTCCATACAAATGTCTACGCCAACTTTTATTTGTTTTATATATGTGTGGCCTCTATGTGGACTTCAACAAACGAAGTAAAAAAGCCGCTAAGTTCGGCCGGGCCGAACTTTTAATACCCTCCACCAACTGGAAGGAACTTGAAAAATTAAAAAAAAATGCGAAAACGAAGACGAAATTTGAAATAATTCCTATTGGGAGGTACCGTTATATGGGGGCTATACGAAAACGTGGACCGACATGTGCCCATTTTACGAACTTAACCTGCCTACTGGAAAAATATGCATGTATGCAAGTTAATCGGTTTAGAATTTTACGCTCATCCAGAATATATATACTTTAAAGCATGGTACAATCATGGTACAATGAAGAGAAGGTAGGTCAACTTTGAAAAAATTGCAATTATAGAGGTCTACCTGTTTGGCTTGTAATGTCAGAATTACTATCAAAACAATAAAAAAGCAAACAACTTGTTGCATTTATTTTGAATAAATAATTGAAAACGCGATAACTGAATTAAAGGTCAACACTTTTTTTCAAAATCATGTACTATATATCTCTAAAGGATTATTTCGCTACAAAAACTCTAGATTTTGTCGATGCATACGTTCAAATAAAAATTTTGAAAACACCCGAATTTGAATATTTTCTGAACAATTTGTTGTTATTGAAAAGAAAACACATACATAAACAAATAAAGATGACATATTAAGCCAAGAAAATAAAAAAATTAAAATCATATGGTATCATAGCCCTACCTTGATATCATTGTACCATGCTTTAAAGGGTCTATCATATTTCGAGGAGTTGCAAACGGAATGACAAATTTAATATACCCCCCATAGAATGGTGGAGGGTACACAAATTGCAAAACTAGAAGATTATTGCAGGTTCTGGAATAAAGTAAATGTTATAATTTATTCTCCATTTTATGATGGAATATTAAGAGAAGAGAAGTAGAATATTAAGAAATCTACGGTTATTGTTCATTCGGCCGCTAAAAATATATATATCAAATAATGAATTCATGATTGTAAGATATAGAGTCGCTCAAGATATATTCTTCAAATATCCCGCGATTATTGACCTGTACGGCAATCCTAAAGTTGCTACACCACTTGACAAGTTCCCTACGGAACCAACTATGAATGCCACTTTGGGCAACTGTTCAACAATCAAAACAAATAACAACGTTGCAAAATGAGCGGCTCAAACAAGAAAAGTTGTGCAGTTTTTGGTGTCGAAGTGTTTCAGTGAAGAAAATTTGGAAAATCGTAAATATTATTTGTGCCTAAACCAAAAAAAAAATATCATCTTCGCAATTCAATTAATGCTCGTGTTTCATTGCAGAAAATTGCATATTCGCGTTTTCCCATACTTAAATTATTAAGAGCAAAGTTGTGAAAATTAGATTGACAAACATTTTTTCTGCAATCCAATCGACACGTCGCCTCCTGTAAAAAATATATTTTAGTGTCTTGAAAATTACGGCATTTATCATAAAGAATGAAGAATTGAAAAAGGTGGAACACAAACACAATAAAACGAAGCTAACAAGCATCTCGAAAAGAGTTGGAAGAGAAGAACAGAAAAAAACAAATGTCCCTCATACCCAGAGAACGAAGTCAGCTGAATGTGAATAAATGATGCGTCGCCGAGTGTGTGCGTTTTTATATGTTAGCCGCCGAAATTTTCGTGATTTTGCAGTCACAGTGCTTGAGGATTATGATTAGGTATCATAGTCAATCGTTGTAATTAATGTAGTGATAATTATTGTATTGATGATTTTTTTGTGATCGTTAATGGCTAAAGACTAAAAAGGCACATTGCGGCTCCCGATTTGATTTTTTTCTAGTTACTATTAAGCCTGGAATCACACAAGCAATTGTCATTTCTATTCCTCGGTGGTGTGGTATCCGTTTGTAAAGTGTCATTTTATATCGCGGCTTTGGCGCCGGCTTGTATATTCACACAAGACTTCGTTCTCTGCTCCAAATTCCGGACAGCAAACTGAAATTAATTACCAATGGGAAACTTGAACTTTTTGGCGTTAGACCGGCGGCCATACCATTTAATTTGATTCGGTGCATTATTGCTCGCCTATATAGTTTTCTTCTGCTTCTGCAGCCATAAACTTAATGAGAAAACGGAAAACGAAAAAAGTGTTTATGTTTTGACACATTCATGTTTGTGTGTATAGGTGAACATAAATTATTTACGCAAAAATCATGTCCGAAGCAAAACGTGTTACATTGACAACCATTAGTAGTACGGTATCCTCATCTCTTCTGACGGCCGGTTCGTCGAGGTTCGGTGCAGAGTTTTTGGCTCCAACAGTAAAATCGGCGGCACCCGCATCATCGTCCTCCAGTAAAAATGGCTGTAAAACATTGCGTTTGAACGTTGAACTATTTCAAACAGATTGCAATCAATATCCAGAATTTGATTATTCAAAATTAGTGCATGTGGAAAAGGTAAGTAGTTCATGAAAGAGTATATGGTTTTGTTTTGTTGTTGTTATAATGGTTTTGCACTGTACGGAAATGTTTTGTTTCAATTTTGAAGCAATAACAGTTGCTTTAAAAAGCTGTTTTGAATTTCGCTTTGAATAAAAAATTTAAATTTAAAAATAATAAAACATATTTACTCTACTCCAGAACTGCAAGAATGTAAAACTTTTTACTACGATAACTCTTTTCCTGTTTATGAAAAAAAATTGAAAACTTGTATAATCTTGCAGGTTCTAGAACAGTAAAATTTTTCAATAAAAAACCCCCATTGGGTTCAGCCTTATCAATGACCGCTACTCTAAAGTCTTACGTTACCAAGCGTTGGGCAGATTAATAATCCTGCTTCGGTTTTGAGTCGCAAGGTTTCTGTGAAGCATTGCTGACAGGATCCACTTTCGCCTTCCCATTAGTGTGCTTCCCACTATCCTTATGTTCCGCCAACGAAGCATACGAGAGGTGCTTTGTCACCTTTTTCTTCGCCTTGGGTTGCTGCTTCTCAGTTGACCGCGTCTTCTTCACAACCACTGGTTGGGAGGCAGTCTAGGTCGCTTTCGAGAGGGTTTTTTCCCGAGATTGGTAACTCAGTTGACAAGACGCTCTCACGTTCGCTCGCTGTAGTCCCTTTTGTAGTTTACCCTGCCCTGTCCCGCAACCTATTTACTGGTCGGAATAACTCAACGACACATCCATTTTATCCTCCTTGTACCTCAACTACCAATGGCCTGAGATCATGGGTTTTACCGACATTTACCGATGAATTAGTATTGGGCCTCTGGGGCAACACAATTTCTGACTAGATATCGTGACATAGACTACGGCGGTATCCATGTCCTCTTCCTCCTCCTCAGATAGGGGTCATTACCAAAAGCCTACACAGACATTGTCGTGACTCGTGTCGTTTACTATGTCAAGTACAAAGCATTGTTGCCTGGCAAGCTACCCATCCATTGCGTCCCTCCAGTGGGAGCAGACGATCTTGAATCACTGTCCGAATTCGATCTTAAATCCATTTCTGTTGTCACCTGTAGCTTTATTGACTGATGGTGCCAAGGCGTTCACACAAGCGTTAGTCAATATAAAATAGTTTTTTTTTTTCGTTGGGGGTTAGGTATTAGTAATTTGTTTGCCATACACCGTACCTTGAAAAATATCGGTCCCATAATACCCCAGATCCTCAAAATTGCTAACACATTTCATTTTTTTTTTTTCATTTTCTTAGAAAAAATTGAAAAAACTGAAACAGAAGACAAACGGTTTCTCGGATCCCTTTGAGGATAATGACGATGATGTTGCGCGCATTGCAAAGGAGTTGGAGAGAAAATATGGAAATGCCTACGTCAGTGGACGAGGCAAGAATAAAAGAGATGAAATCGACATAGGTTTGGGCTATGACGAGTCCGACTCTTTTATCGATAACACAGAAGCGGTAAGAACCCACAATTTCATGTCTTGCAGTAGAAAACTCAATTGTGTTTTATTTTCAGTACGATGAAATGCTACCCGATGAAGTGGAAACCATTGAAGGCGGCTTCTATATTAATTGCGGTGCCTTGGAGTTTAAAAAACTCCACACCGAATCAACGACTACCAAAACCGACGAAATCATAAAAATGCCCAATCGTCCAAAGAAACCGGTTATTTCATCATCGTCTGAAGATTCA